AAAGAGTTGTATTTCATGAAAGAAAATGAAACAAGGTTGAAAAGGGATTCATGCAACTTTCTCCAAATGAAGACAAGTTGAAGGAAGATGACTCTTGCAATGACTATGGATGGAAGATGACCAAAGACTCAGCATGTGGCCTGGATACCAGTAGACTTCAGAATGGCCACTATACATGACAGCCTAGAGTACGATCATGTGTTTCAGAAGAAGGTGAAGAGGAAAGTTGCAAGAAAGAAAAAGATTATGTAACTAGCAAGGCATTTAATTAGAAAAAAATAGAATAAAATTCAGTCCTTGATGTTATTCAGTTAGACCTTCCACAACAAAGTAAAACTAACATTTGTCCTTGGGTTTGAATCTGGTGCTGAGGTAAAAGATAGGATTTGGGCTCCTAAATCATTCAGCTTTGTGTATTCTTTTGCCATGCTTGCCTTGCCAAAGCAGAATAGTAGGCATATTCTCAATAACTGAACTTTGCAGACACACATATGAAATTGTACTTATTGCTCTTCTTTGCATTTTAGACATTCTAACATAATAAGGCTTGCTTTAATTTAAGGTTGTGAAAGAATTAGTCACTAGTAATTTAGATGACTGGATTATATTGTATATCTTATGTAGACTATTTTATCATCTTTCTTAACAGTTAACCCTCTTATCAGTTCCTCTTTTGTCTTCCTTCCATGCTTTGTGACACCACAACTGCAGTGTTTCATCATAAGTTAAAGACTAAATGTTTTCTTCTGTTTTCCAATTCTTTAACCATCCCCACAAACTAAAGTATTTGGCAAACCCCAATCACGTTCCATTCATGGGAAATATTTTACTGCTAGATCCCCTGTCTAATATGCAGTGAGTGTCCTGAGACTGCTACTTAAATTACACCACATATCGTCATGTCACCATTGCCTTGTCTTCTCTCATTTGTTTTTTTCCACCTGTTATCTCATCATACACCAGTGGCCACCAACCAGTAGATCAGAATCTACTGGTAGATCTTGGAGCCTTTGACAGGTGATCCTGACTGGTTTGGCCAGGAGGCTATAAAGTTTGGGCAATTCAGCTGCCCTTCCCTCCACTGCTGTGTATCTCCTGCCTTTTGCCTTGGAGCTGGCCCCTCAGGAGCCTCCTGCTTTCTGTGCAGGGCAGGGGAGGGAGGAGAGGGGTGCTGATGCCAAGATGCCCCCTTCTCCTGCTTTGTATTCTATCTCCACAGAGCAGAGAGGGGGCACAATAAGACTTGGGCAGGGGAGAGTTTGCTGGCTGCTTTTGGGAGTGGTGCAGGGCCAGGAAAGGAGTGAACCTGCCCTAGCCCCACTGCACCACCACCCAGAAGCTACCTGAGGTAAGCAGTGCTCAGCTGGAGCCCACAACCCTATTCCAATCATGATCCCCTCTTGCATCCCAAACTCCTGCCCTAGTCCCAAGCACCCCTGCATCCAAATGCCCGTCCAGAGCCTGCACCTAGGACCCCCTCTGATACCCCAACTACCGGCTCCAAGCTCAGCTCAGAGTCCCTCTCGCACTCCAAATCCCTTAATCCAAGACCAGAGCCTGCACCCAAACCCTCTGCCCCAGCCTGGTGAAAGTGAGTGAGAATGGGGGAGGGAGGAAGGATGGAGTGAGCAGGGGCGGGGCCTCGCAGAAGGGGCATGAAGAAGGCAGGGTAAGGGTTTTTGGATTTGAGGTAGATCTTGGATTGCAAAAAGTGATCTCATGCTTAAAAACGTTGGAGTCCACTCATACACTGGAAACTTTTTGTTGCAACATTTGTCTTTTTTTCCCAATAAATTAATATTGTAACAATTGGATTGAACTTTGAACAGGAGCAGGCAGAAGTGTTTGAGGGGCCAGGGCAAAATCTGTTGTGACAAATGGGCAGCTGGGTCAAGCCTGAGTGACCCATGTGCTCGGTTGCAACATCACTCAGTTCAGGAGCCCTCTCAAATGGGGGTCCTGGGGCAAACTGACCCTTTTGTCCTCTCTCCTTTCAGATGGCCCTGAGTTTGAGCATTTCATCCTGGAGAGAATTCTGCAAAGTGTAACCAATGTGACTAAGGGACTGGTATCACTGACATCGGAGGAAAGATTAAAAAGCACAAAATTATGTAGTTAGCCAGACAGTGACTAAGGGAACCCCTGGTAATAGTCTACAAGCATTTAAAGAGTGCGCAAACAGCCCAGAGAGAGGGAAAACTCTTCAGACTGTTCATCACAGACGATTTGGGGAGGAGCAGTGCCAGGATACAGGAAGATAGCCATCACTACTGCTCCAGTGGTATGTACCCACTCCATCACCCAGAACCTTCTTTGCTGGGTCCACTACTCTGAAGTGTGATCTTCTGTTGTGTAGTAATGCTGCTTTGCCAACAAAGGGAGATATGAGATTAATATTTATTTACCTACCTGCCCTGACACACTGTTCCTCCAATCAAGGGTCTGAAAGTATCATGTATTGTTCTCCTGCTGTCTTCTGCCATTTCTCTGCTATGTCACCTCATTTACATAAATTCTCCTGCTCCTGAGCAGCTCAATTTGTTTTGACAAACGCTTTTCTATTTGTCTTTGGATTCATTATTTCCCCTGTTTCTGAACTAGGTAATCTCAGCCTGACTGCAAAAGCAGTCGCCAGCCCTGTTGGAGCCTCAATTAAAAGCAATGGGCACAAAATAAAAGGATTTTCTACTGTCTCATCTCTACCAGCCTTAGATAGCTGTCTAGTGCATGGCTTCTTTCATTTGAAAGGAAGAACAGGGAAGAAATCACCTTGATTTGCAGCTCTGGGATAGGGAATGGCAAAACATACCAGTTGGAGGAATCTTTTGTGCTTTTGGAAACCTGGCACAAAAAATACAACATTTTGAGCACAGGATGTGTGTGTAGGGGGTGGGGAGGAGGTAGGAGAAATGAGCTCTTTCCACTAAAAACTACCAATCATGTTGACATTCCTCTGCATTATCATTTCAGCTGAAATGATTGAAGCTGAAAGGTTATTATGCTTTTTCCTTGGCAGCTCCTTGGTGCATTTGCAGGGAGGTGAGCTAAATGTTTTTCAAAGGTTTACTTCAGCCTCCACTCCCCATCCTCTTGACAAGTGAGGAAACTGTAAAGAAAAGAGAGGAGTCACAAGGAAATGTTCAGGTCTCTGCTAAGAATTTCTGCACTGCGTTGGAACCGAGTAGCTTAATAGGGTCTATCTGAGGTAACTTTGATTCTTAAAATCATGATGATTTGTGATTGGAAAGGCTCATTATGCAACTAGTGGATTTTCTGTAACTTGAAGTATTTTAATCAATATTTGAGGACTTCAGTAACTCAGCCAAAGGTTATGGGTCTATTGCATGCAGTGCTTTTTTTGTGACGGTACTGCCCGGCATGTAGTACCGACACCTCCAGATGCACTACCAGCACCTCCTATCAGAGCTCAACAACTTTTCCCCTGGAGTACTGGCACCTTTTTTTTTTTTAACAAAAAAAGCAGGTGTCCTGTTTTGAACTGAACAGTCCAGTATTTGAGCTTTCTGTTCGGGAAACAAATTGAGAAAATATAAATGTCCGGTATTTTCTAAATAAGATGTAATGTACATTGTGATGTAATGTCAAATATGTCCAGTATTTTTGTTGAACCCATCTGGCAACTCTATGCATGAGTGGGCAGGTGAGATTCTGTGGCCTGCACTGAGCACAAGGTCAGACTCGATGATCATAATGATCCTAATCTGTGAGTATGATCTAGACCACCTCCCCCAGCACAACTGTTCCATGCAATATATTTCCTATTGTTTTTTTACCTAGTTTAAATGCTCCAAAGATGGGGAAGACTTCCACCACCACTATTGGAAAATTATTCCCAGTATTATAGAATGCCCTGTTGGGAAGATCTTCTTGATATTAAACCTTACTTTTTCTTTCGTTAAATTTCATTCCAATGTCTCCCCTGACGTGTACCACACCAAGTAATTTCTCTTCCTCCGTTCTGAGCTAGGTGCTGATCTTTTATTCACACTTAGAATCAGCTTACTCTAGGACTAGTCCCATTGGAGTGGCCCCTTCCTGAACCCAGGAGGCCTGTGATCCTCAGTGCGATTCCTTTCCTGAGCCCCATAGACTATGTAGGTGGCGCTTGCTGCAAACCTGTGTGCCATAGACTGGACTGGGACTGCTGCTTGCCTGACTGCAGGCCACAGGCCTAACTGTTGACTGTCTCTATAGACCAGGGAAATAGACTACTACAGCTTTGCCTAATTGCAGGCCTGAGGCCCAATTGTTGGCTGCCCTGCCCTACTTACAGGTTGGGGAAATTGCCTTAGATTGCAAGCCTTAGCCATAACTGGCAGATGACACAACACACACCCCTAAGAGCTGTGTGAATAGACAGCTGCAGCTTGCCCTGGTCACCAGCCAGAGCCCAGACTGCACAGCCCACCCTGCTTGAGGGATAGGCTCCCTTGTGAATTGCTATTTCCCCCACTCTAGTTGGCTGTGTCTAGACTGGCAAGTTTTTCCGCAAAAGCACTTTTTGCGGAAAAGCATCCGTGCCAATCTAGACGCGCTTTTGCTCCAAAAAGCCCCGATCGCCATTTTAGCCATCGGGGCTTTTTTACGCAAAACAGTTTTTACTTGTCTACACTGGCCCTCTTGTGCAAATGATTTGCGCAAGAGGGCTTTTGCCCGAACGGGAGTAGCACAGTATTTCCACAAGAAGCACTGATTTCTTACAGTAGGAAGTCAGGGGTCTTGCGGAAATTCAAGCGGCCAGTGTAGACAGCTGGCAAGTTTTTCCGCAAAAGCACTTTTTGCGGAAAAGCATCCGTGCCAATCTAGACGCTCTTTTCTGCAAATGCTTTTAACGGAAAAGTTTTCCGTTAAAAGCATTTGCAGAAAATCATGCCAGTCTAGACGTAGCCATTGTGTTTAGAGAAAGCTCTAGAAGATCCAAGTTCTGAGTAGGTATGGGCCTACTCTCCCCTTCTCTTCCCATCCTCCACCATATCCTACACTCACCTTTAATGTTTCCATCATTCAGATAGTTGCAGATGCCCTTTTTTAGTCATTGCTTAGCCAAGAAGCACATATTTAGTCCCTCCAATCTCTTCTAATAAGGCACTCCCTCATGCTCATTCATCATTGTTAATACTCAAGAATTACAAGCAAAATCTTGGTGAATCCTGGTGTACATAAATATCCTTGAGAACAATCACACTGAAAATGCTATAATGGCAGTTATGGAAAAGTGGTCTTATTATTTATGTGGTAGATTTGTCTGACAGATAAGAATATTAGTGGCTAATTAGATCACCTAATCAGAGAACATGGATGATATCATGCAGCATGAACAGTGACTATCTGTAGAATCAATTTGTTCTGAGATCCCCTGCATACAGAAAAAGCATATATTAATCAGATGTTGAATTATCTATTATAATTAAGTCAGATATAGTTTTCTATCCTTTTCTGCAATGCACTAACCAGTTTTGGGCACCTTAGCACTGGGATGATGTAGAAAAGTCAGATAAGATCCTTCCATTTCCCTGCTCAATCTTATGATGCCTCAATAAATGCAACCCAAAACTGCACTGTTCTTTGTTTCCCCCCTGTCATTTTAAACAGCAAACTCATATCCAATTTTCAGTCCACTGACACCCTGGGCCTCTGCATTATTGTTTCCACGGTTTTGTCTTTCTTTATATCTAGACCATGGCGCAGCCCGCGGATGGGGTTCAGCTATTGAGTGATGGTTGTGTAACCCACACACCTACTGGGTGTGGTTCACGTCCCATGAGGTGGCACTTAGACCATATACAGAGAGAAAGAATGCGTGTGCTCTGCAGCCTTAGCTGAGTGTCAGCTGGCTTTTAGTTCTGGCTGCAGAGGCTTATGCACTAAGCTCCAGAGATCCCAGGTTTGGTTCTGCCTGTTGGTGTAACGCTTGCCTGTGATATTTTCACTGCCTGTTAAAACTGTATGCTAACCACGGTATTTAGAATGATTTCTGAGAAGAGAAAAAAAATATGACAGAGATATTGCCCAAAATGCTGGTGGTGGGCACTTTTCTAGGGTCAACACAACACTAGAACCCATCTTGGGTCACAACGAACTGTTGCCTCCAATTAAAAATCATGTAAGGGAGGGCATATTCCCAAAGCCATGCATCCTTTTAGTACCGGGGGAGGAAATCTTTTTTGGGCTGAGGGCTGCTGACCTCTAGCAGTCAGTCGGGGGCTGCACATAAGTGAGAAGGAAAAAACAGAAAACCAAGCTTTCACTGACATGGCACACTCCCTGTTTCCCCTCATACACCAGAGCCTAGTGGGGCCAGGCTAGTAGTTTTTGTGTGCTCCAGCTGCGGGGGGATGGTGGGGAGGCTGGAGCACCAGCACAGGCTCTCCAATGCTGAGGGGAAGCCCCGAGCCTCAGGGGCCAGATCGAGGCAAGCTGGGGGCCACATCAGGCCCCATATAGTGGCCACCTGTGCTACTCTGTTGTTTGTTTAGCACGCTAGCTGAAGCAGGAAGCAAGATTCCAGTGACCATGCAGGTGTACTCCTAAAGGGCAGCTAGAAGGTTACATTTCTCCTGTTTGCAACAAGGGCACGGAGTGTCAGGGAATGGACTGTGAAAATGGGCAGAGGATAATGCTCTATGTAGTTAAGAAGGTGGTTTTCACAGATCCACCCAACAAGAAGCATGATGGCTCATCCCTTCCCAGTGCCAACGGGGCCACCACTCTCATCCCGGAGCACTCTAAAAGAGAGGCAGGGTGGTGAGGTAATAGCTTGTATTGGACCAGGTTGGCCCAGTAAAAACTATTACATCAGCCACCATGTGTCTCTCATATCTTGAGACCAACAAGGCTACAACTCCACTGCACAAGAGGAAGCTCCTGGCCAGGCATTTTGCCAATTAACTGTGGGGCTGCATTGTGACCCTGCTGAGGGAGGAAATAAATCCTAGAGGAGCAGCTGATGCTGCTCTGAGCAGCATTAACTAATCCCAGGTTATTATGTGAGCTTCAATATGCAAGGGAAAGGGAACAGACCAAGTAGAGCTGCTGTTATCTGGCTGCTTGCCAGCTCCTCCTCTTCTATGCAACCTGTCAGCTGCACAGATATTCTGCAAAGGCAGGGAAATATCCCACTTAGTTGTCCTTCCCTGCCACATGGTCCCTCCATGAGATTTTGTGTGTCCAGTTTGGCTCTCCTCCATATAGTCATGACTGGGCAGCCGAGGAGTTCTTTCAGTAATGTTAATACAGGAGACTACATTCGGAGTCCTGGCACTTTCTCTGTTGAAAAAGAACAAAGAACATCTTTCACACAGTGGAACAGTTGCTTTATTTATGTAAGATTTACCCCTCTCCCCCCAATAATAATAAAATGCTAATTAAAACCCCATTTAAAGCTTTTCAAAGTTCATATCAGCAATACATTGGTATGCCATAGAAGCTGTTAAAAAGTTTGTAAGTCCCAGTGACCTCAGATCTATCTTTGGGCAAGTGTTATTTCAGACTGCTGTGATTATTAGCCAATGTTGACTGTTCAGTGACCATCAGTAAGGCTCTGCAAAAATTCCTCCAGTAGTAGCCTAGATTGGAGTAGTTAGATGGTAGAATAACACCTTTTCATAAGTCCACAAAACAATGATACTGATAAATATAAAACAAACAACAAATAGTCTAGTAGCACCTTAAAGACTAACAAAAATATGTTTATGGAATCTCAATAAAGTTTCTGATTTTTAACTGGTTTCAACCACATCTGTTATCAAGAAAACAAAGAAAACTGGCAGAAGCATGTATAAGTATTTCTACTGTTTCCATACAATGGTGATGTGACTCACTGAAAGCCATGAGGGCTGGCATGTCCTGGGGGGAGGGAAAGATTATAATGTTGTCATAAAACTGACAGATCTTTTTAAAGGCCATGCCCACAATACCACTTCATAGCTGAAAGGATGAATTTTTGATGCTGCTCTATTCCACTAAATCCATTTAACCTCCACAAGCAGTAAAGAAGGAAACCCCGTTCCCTCAGCATCTCCCCTCATGCACACAACAGCTTTGGGAAACAAACTACATCTGCTCACTCCCAGATGAATATAAATGAACACACATTTGCTACTGAAACTTGCAGTTACTTCTGTAAGTATGTAGCAATAATCCTCAGATGGAACTCCCCTCCCCCATCACGCACATCATTTGGAGGCTCAGTTTTGTTCATAAGAGTGTTCTTGGGCAAGAATGTTGATTGATAGCAAATGCATAGCAAATTGGAATGGGCTGATTTCTTAACTCTGCACACCAAACTAAAGAAGTAGATAAATCAGTGCAAGTATGAGGCCTCTTTATTTTCTTTTTACTCTCCCCAATTCCTTCTCTAATTCCTGTCTGGTATTGAATCTCCACCAAGCTAGAAATCAGTCAGGAAGCTTGTTCACTATATTCCCTCTTGGGATAATAGCAAGGATCAGAC